CCTCGATATATACTCAGGAAAAGTGCACCAATATGTCCACCAAAAGAAAAATACAAGAATATCAACAGCAAAAAATGGAATATTTCCCAAAAGTTCATTAATAGAAACACATGAATAGATGGTGTACATTTGCACAGTGGAATTCTTGTGTGTAGAGCAAGGAGAATAAGCATACTCTAACTCCATGCATCATGATAGATGTATTTCAAATACATATTCGACATAAAAGCCAGATACAAGAATACATATACCATCATTTCATTTTTATAAAGTTCAAAACAGGAAAATCTATAGTTTTTGAAATCAAGAAAGTGACCATATTTTAGAGATAGTGACTAGAATAGGTCCCAGGGAGGCTTCGGGAGAAACCTTTGGTTTCTCGATTTGGGTGCTAAGTACAAGGATGCACTCAGTTTGTGAAAATAGTTCCAGATGCACATTTATGACTTGGGCATTTTTCTATATGAATTTTCTACTTTAGTGAAAGAAATTAAAAGATGGTATTTGAGGAATTAATATTCTTTATTCAGTAAGGTGACAATAGAAGCTGTTGTTTTTAGCTGAAGAATCACACAATTCTATTAAAATCAGAAAGATTGGATCAAGTGGTAAGACAAAAGAATTGAAAATGAAAGAGAAAATTGACCCGAACTTGTATAGTAGTACTGGGAAAACAGACAAGGAGACAGAAGTGATAAAAGTACTGGAGATGAAATGGACCAACTTTCTGTCTGCCTAACAGAATCAGATACATGAAGAAAGGGAAAATTTTTTTAAAAGAGATTCAGGACTGGGTGGCAGGCAGTTCTACTGAGACACACAAAAATCAAGAGGGTAACGGATTTGGCAAATGTTGGCCAACTACAGTCAAATCTGGTCCATCAACTATTTTTGTACAACCCATGAGCTAAGAATGGTTTTTACATTTTTAAGTGGTTGAAAAAAAATCAGAATAGGTGTAATCAGAATAATACTTAAGACACATGAAAATTATGTGAAATTGAAATTTCAATGTCCATACAAAATTTTTTGGAATACAACCACACTCCTTTGTTTGCATGGTGTCTATGGATGCTCTCATATTACAAGAGCAGCAGAATTGAGTATTGTCGTAGAGTGCTATGGTATGGCCTGCAAAGCAGAAATTATTTACTACCTTGCCCTTTACAAAAATTTCTGCCAACCCTTGCTTTAGAGCTAAAATTATAAATTATATATATGTCATATTATATATAAGTGTGTGTGTAGATATTAAGATAGATAGATAGATGATAGATAGATAGACAGATAGATAGATAGATGATAGATAGATGATAGATAGATAGATACTTGAAAATGCCTAATATGGTAATGGGCGAATACAACGTTTGTTGAAAAAGGAGAATAACATTAGAAATAGAATTCTGAGGATCACTGTACAGAGTGAAGAACTGAGTCTGTTATTGTAAGTCACCAGCTAGCATTTTAAAAAAACTAAAGAAAATAAAAAGTCCTTCATACACATTCATTCGTTTGATCTCTAAGACAACCTGTGAGGTGAATATCATCGTCTCTAGTTTACAGATAAGGAAACAGATTCTAGAATATATGTGGCTATACTTCAGAGAATAATTGCATTCAAGAGTAGAAGGTGACCGAAATACCATTGAGTAGAATGGGAATATTTTGGTATATTGTGGGCAATATTGCTCATGTTTGTTGACATAGTAATAGGACAAAAATTCTAGAGCCAGAATTTCTAAGTTTCCATACTGGCTCTACCACTTACTACACTATAATCTTGAGTTCATAACTTAACCTTTGGCACATTCAGTTTCATAATATACTAAAATTAGGATAATAGTATATTTACCTCATAGGGCTGCGATGAAGAGTGAAGTTAAATATATGTAAGGTGCCTGGAAGAGTGTCTGGCATATCTAAATGTTAGCTATTTTTGTCTTTGGCAAAAGATTCCAAGAATCAGTTGACACACAATATAATCTCATTTGGTTGGCAGAATTCAAAAAGCCTTTGATAGCTATTTATATCACAGTTGTACTCTATAGATTTGAGCAGGAATGGAGAAATACCGCCAGCCCGCAATAACATCAGAAATCCCACTTATCTCATTTGTGTTAAGCTTTGTTTCTTTGCTTATCCTGCACACAATTAGCCAATAAGGAATTTTTGCTCAGAATTCCGAAATAGGAAGTGTTCTCTTAAGTCTTATTTTGAAATGTTCATAGTGATTCCAATTGATTAATAGCATATAATAAATCATTCACAGAAGCACTAAAAATCTTCAGGAAAGGCATCAGTCAGTCATTTAATCCTTTTATGATGTTGTTGTTCCTCCTGTGGGAGAGTCAGAATTCACTAGAACTTTCGATTTTATTGATTATTGCCCAACTTTTGGCCCTTATCCTATCAGAAGTAAACATCTGGTGATTATAATTCACCATGTGAGTTGAGATGTTATTAAGGAAATCGAGTGCAACCGATGAGACTCCTGTGAGTGACAGGGTTAGCCTCAGTGCTATGAAATAATCCACTCTGGTCCCTGCATGGCAGCTGGGTAGCTGCTGCAATTACTGTCATTTTATGTCTGGAGAAACTTAGACAAGAGGGTTAAGGGCTTTCTTAAGGTCATATTGGAAATCAGTGGGATTCCAAGGAACAGAACTTAGAATACACTTAACCAGATCACCTCTTGAATAGTTCTAACTTTTTTTTTTTTAATGAGGATAGTGAATAATTTTCCATAATATACCAATGTACATTTCAATATTATTTATTAGATCCTGATTCATGGATTTATTACCCCTGAGACAAAGACCGTAAAAAGAGGTCCCAGTTGAATCTCCCTACATCTATTATTATTTGAAAGTTTAAACACTTTTTTTAATTGAAAATGGAAAGAATGGTAATGACCAGTAGTCAAGATGGAGAAAATTCATTTCGATTTTTGAGCTGCCTTAATGGGTTAGTAGCTTATAATTTACTTAATGTGCTTGCATGCTATTGATTTCAGACATAAGTGAGCTGTGTCTTCATTTATGTGCCTTGCTATATGCCAGCAGCAGTAAAAGTTGCTTTTCTTTTAGTAGGCCACATTGCCTGGGAAAGGAAATTACAAATGATTCAGATTCCAAGGAAGAGACACCTCTATAGCTCATCAATTAAAAGCTCATTCTCACAGCTTAATTTAATTCCTCAAATAAAATAATGCAAAAAATAAAAATTTTAAGTGCTAGATATGGGAATTTATTTTGACAATTTTCTTACTGAATAGGAAATAGCTATCATTTATTGAACATTCACTGTATGTCAAACATTATGCTAAGGAATTTAGTGGAAGCTTCAACTTGGAAAGCCTCATTGTTTATTTTCATGACTAGGTTAGAACTGAACCATGGATAATTAATGCTGAGATTTCACAGACACCAAGTTATTTTAGACCCTGAGTTAGTCTTATATAAATAGATAATAAATGACAGATACTTGATATTGGTTTTTTAATTTTCATTTTTTGTTGGATTTTCCATTGAACATTTTTGTAATTCCTTCGTTCATATATTTAAGCTTTTTTGCTCTTGTACACTATTGATTCAATAAAGTGTATTTCAACTATTTGAGCCTTTTGTCCAGAATATTTCAAAGCTTTTTTCCTTATTTCCCAGTATATGGATGTCCTAGGGACTAGTATCTGGAAATATATAGGCATTGTAGGTATCACATATTTGGTATGAATAATCTAATAAGTAAAATTTACTTAAATGATTTATCATTTTAACTACTTCCTCTGAGGCCCATGTACTCATTCTATTAGAACGTATGTGGATTTTTTTGGAGAATATGATTGCACAGGCTGTTACATGAAATTTTATGGCCTTGATATTATCAAATCACTTTTTTTTTTACTTCAAGATTCTTCATTTGACAAAAACTTATAAGTCCCAGGTGCTAATGCTGTGAATATGGTGGTTTAGATGGTTTTCTACCCTTCCCACATTTCAAATTGCAAGTGGAAGACGCAAGTTGCATCCTGTTCAAAATTTGACATATCCAAAGAATAATACTAAGCCAACCCAGCAAGTTAACTGTGCATGGGAGAAGAGTACCTCAAAACTCAGGATGCTAATTAGTGAGGACTTGCCTTAATAAACCCTGCCCATAACATTTTTACTCTTCCCTCAAAATAGTTTGCATACACATACACACTTGAATGTGTTTATATGTACAGAATACCCATATACATCCTTATGATTTATTTTATTTTATTTTTTAAGATTTTATTTGTTTATTTGACAGAGAGAGAGAGCACAAGCAGGGGGAGCAGCAGGCAGAGGGAGAAGCGGGCTCGATCCCAGGACCTTGGGATCATGACCTGAGCTGAAGGCAGCCACTTAACCGACTGAGCCACCCAGGCGCCCCTACATCCTTATGATTTTAAAATGTGCTTATCTAATACATATGATTTATAAATGTATACTATCATTGTTTACCAATATATATTCAGTGTTTGTGTAAGGATCTGTCTGACTGTATATACATACATGGATAAATCAACATTATAATGTCAATAGACATTTCCAGATAGTTTTGTTATACTTCTACTTTTTGAAGCATATTATTGGTACCATTAAATAAGGTATATGCTTTTCTAATATATGAGATGCATTATATTAAGCCTGAATTAATTTAAAATTGTATTGCATTAGAAATTTGAGAAGTCTCACATTTATATTAAGGAGTAGAATTAAGTATATCAGATACTAAATTATACATTGTTATTCTCAAATTTAACATTATAGTTCTAGAGAAAACATTTATAATTTAATAGATTTTTCATAGGAAAAATTAAGCCTAGAAAGTTTTGATTATATGGTTTTAAAAAACCATGACATGTCTCTGTTTTTAAATGAACAAGTTTAAGAATATCCTGTAATGACCACTTCTTCCTAAAATGCTTTTTGACATAGTGGAATGATTATAAATCTACTTATCACATGTTTTAGGCTAAAATGACTCAATTGCCTGAGGCAGAAAAGGAAAAGATTGCTGAGCAAGTTGCTGATTTCAAGAAAGTAAAGAGTAAACTGGATGCTGAGATTGAGATATGGGATGATACCAGCAATGATATCATTGTTCTGGCCAAGAAGATGTGTATGATTATGATGGAGATGACAGACTTCACAAGGTAATTATGTGCAAAATGATGCATAACATTTATAATGGGTAGAAACATTTGTCACAGTTATGAAACCTAAGTTTCTCTAAGTAGCAGATGCTAAAAACTAAATGGTGGGAGAAACACAAATAATATAGAATTAGAAAGTTGTAGGTGTGTAGTTCTAGAGGTTTTGGTAAATAAATATGGCAAAGTTTCTCATAAATGGCCAAAAAATGATTTTAGAAATCTCCTTTATACCCTGTCACCTTAGGAATCTTTTCTGTTTCATATTAGCGTATTATTTTACAAAGAAATTGATAAGTCAAATTATGATTTCGGTTGGAACTATCTGAATACTTGATTTCCATAGCTACATAATTTTAATTGTAATGATTTATGTGTCATCAAGGTTCATATCTTTTGCTACTGAGCTCTCAACCAAATATATTTTGAATCACAGTGACTTAATGATATACATGAAAGAATCATACATTATGTGTAAATTCCAGAAACAATAAAATGTTTATTACAGCTTCAAAATATTATCTTATAGAGCTAGCCAAAGAGCAGTACAATAATATAGTTCTTGCCCTACCAGTTACTAAAATATACAAAACTACAATAATTAAGGTAATTTAGTGTTGGTGTAATTTTAAAAGACACAGAGCAGAAGAATACTCTGAAGCAGACCTGGTAGACTTAGAAAAACATTCATTTATATCACCATACATTATACACAAATATAAATTTTAGGTCGAGTAATAAATGTAACTTTAAAATCATAACAAGTGGAAAAATGTACACAAATCTTTTCTTTATATTAAGATTGAGAAAGGCTTTCTAAGCATTGGAGAAAAAGGAAGAACTTATAAAAAAGGATTATTAAAGTGAACTACATTAAAAATTAAGTTCTGTAGATCAATAGAATATCCTAAACAATATCAAAATGTAAATGGATAATTGGGTAAACATTTGTAATAAAAAATAACAAAAACATGATGTCATTTATATGTAAAGAATACCTAAAGACATTATGAAGAATAAAAAAACAAATATCCTAGAATGGACAAAAGACATGAGCAGATAATTCATCAATTTCTTCCCATAAAACTATGACCCATAAATCTGTGAATAATATTAAACCTAAAATAATTTAAAATAAAGTAACTTTTAAATTTATAAAATCGGACAAACTTTTAAGATAGGTTTGTTATAGGAAGGTATCGTGATGAATGTTCATTGCAGCATCATTCCCAATAGCCAAGATATAGAAACAGTGTTGGTGTTCCTCAAAAGAAGAATGAATAAAGAAAATGTTGTGTGTATATATATATATGTATATATATGATGGAATATTTTTTATGTGGAATCTTTTTTTTTTTTTTTTGGCTGGGTGATAGACATTGGGGAGGGTATGTGCTATGGTGAGAGCTGTGAATTGTGTAAGACTGATGAATCACAGACCTGTACCTCTGAAACAAATTTTATGTGGAATCTTAAAAAGAAATCAAAATCATAGAAACAGAGTAGAATGGTGGGGAATGAGGGGTAGAGGAAATGGGGAGATGTTGGTCAAAGAGCACACACTTTCAGTTATAAAATGAATAAGCTTTGAGTATCTAATATATAGTATGGTGACTATTGTTAATACTGTATTGTATATTTGAAATTGGCTGAGAGTAAATCTTAAGCATTCTCATGCACACACACAAAAAAGATAACTATGTAAACTGATGGATGTATTAATTCACTTGATTGTGGTAATCATTTCATGATATAAAAATATATCAAATCCCCACCCTGTACACTTTAAATATATTACAGTTGTATTTTTCAATTATGCCTCAATAAAGCTGGGGGGAAAAAGAAGATAATCAAAACAATTCAGCTGATGAGACCCTATGTCTAAAAAAACAAATACAAAACAGAAAAATAAAACTGTAATGCAACACACCAAATTGAAATAAATTTCAAAAAATACCATATGATGCAGTAATTTCACTACTGGGTATTTACCCAAAGAAAATGAAAACACTAATTCAAAAAGATATATGTACCCCAGTGTTTATTGCAGCATTATTTACAATAGCCAAGATAGGAGACAACTCAAGTGTCTATTCATAGATGAATGGATAAGAAGATGTGGTATATATGCACAATGGAAAATTGCACAGCTATAAAAAAAAAGAATAAGATCTTGCCATTTTCAACAACATGGATGGACCTAGATGGTATTTATGCTAAGTAAAATAGATTGAGAAAGACAAGATACCATATGATTTTACTCATATGTGGAATCTAAAAACCAAAACAAATAAAGAAACAAAAAGCAAAATCAGACTTATAAATACATAGAACAAACTGATGGTTGCTGGTAGAAAGGGAGTGGAGAGATGGGCAAAATGGGTGAAGGGGAGTGCGAGATACAGGCTTCCAGTTACGGAATGAATAAGTCATGGGAATGAAAGGCACAGCATAGGAGATACAGTCAATGGTATTGTAATAGTGTTGTATGGTAATGGATGGTAGCTAAGTGAGCATAGAGAAATGTATAGAGAAGTTCAGTTACCATGCTGTATGCCTGAAGCTAATTTTGTGCCAACTATATTCAAATAATAAAAAGTTGGAGATGTTTATTTTTAAAATCCTGACTCAAAATCAAAAACTAAGGAATGAAAAAAATAAAAAAAGAGATGAGGAATGTAACAAGCTCATCAAAATTGAAGAATAAAAAATTTCAAAAATGACAAATTATAAATCCAAAGGAAAATAGATTCAAATAAAAATTCCATAAGGAGCTTTGAAAACAAGCAGGAGATTAACTAAGAGACAGTGATGAGATAAAAATAAAGAAAGAAGAAAAGAGAAAAAAAGACCTTGAAAGAGAGAGGAGGCAAAGAGGCTCCAGTATACATATCCTCGGACCCTTTGGAGAATAATTTAAGAAATAATAAAACAACCAATATTTAAAAGTATAAATAAAAAATATTTTCATATGTAAGACTAAACTTAAATTTATGTATTGAAAGGTGTTACCATATACTGAGGAATTTCACCCAGACAACAATAAACATACACATATTTTCCTCATATATAAAAATATTAATATATTATACATATTATAAATAACACCCACTATGTGTATGTATACATACACATATATATGAAAGGGAGAAGAGAGAGCAAAGTGAAACTAACTAAATTGTAACAATTTATGAAAAGCAATCCTTACCTCCACAAAGGAGAAGCAGGTATTTTAACCTTGTATGATTTCATTTCTTGTGATTATCTCCATACCTCTAAGCAATATACTTTCTTCTCTAAGATATAATTTATTGGCTTTTCCTACAAATGAGAATTTAGATAACTTATAAGACTGTTCATCTTCTTTTCTCCCTCTCCTTTCCTTAGTTTGATGAATTTATATATTTTCATTGTTTATATTTATAGTCCTTGATAATATTATTTTATTCATAACTGTTTTTTTGTTATTATGTGTAAGTTATATCTCAACTTCCAACTATGTATGATGAAGAGATTCCTACTTTCACTCTTCTGCCTCCAACTGCTCCGTTCTGTATCTCATTCATAACCCAATTTCTTTCCACTACATCTTTTATATTAAGATAGGCAATATTTACATTCTTTTCAACAATTAAATCCCCCATGCTTATGTTATAGGTTGATTCTGAAAATAAGGATTAATAAATAATATTTTATTATGGCACTGATACAATTAACCTCGATAGGAAACATGCATGAAAGAAACATTTCCTGTAAAAAATTGAATTATAGTTTAGACATGGTTTAAAGTGTCCATAGATTTATATGGAAAACAGCACATTATGGAAAGAAATCTAAACTAAGAGCTGTTTTAATATCAGCTGATAAGTAGGGCAATGAGAAGTCTCTTAATTCTGTAATGTAAATATTTGGATATATATATATATATTTATAGGCAGAATGTGGAACTAGAAGGATAAACAATGAAGGACAAAGCCACGAGAAGCAAAATTCCAAGAAGTGGGCAGAGGAAATAGAATTCCATAAAAACAGAGCACTCAAGTGATTATAAGAACATTTGTAACATGAGAAGAAAGATTCTGGGCCATAGTTAAGGGAGTTTCAGTGAATGATCAATGAGTTGTTTTATTTGAGGAAATTTTAGTTAAAATGATGATTGAAGGGGCACCTGCGTGGCTCAGTTGGTTAAGCGTTTGCCTTTGATTCAGGTCATGATCCCAGGGTCCTGGATCAGCCCCATGGGCGGGGGGGCTCCCTGCTCAGAGGGGAGTCTGCTTCTCCCTCTCCCTCTCCCCCCCACATCATGCTCTCTCTCTCTCACACACAAATAAAATCTTTAAAAAAAATGAAGATTGAAAAGATAGTGTAATTTTGGCAGTTCTCAATTTGTGGGTACTTTTGTTTGAGTAGCTTCACTAAATGGCGAAAGAGAAAAACAGTCGTTAAAAGAGGTAGATGGGAGACTAGCTGATAAGAAAATAAAAATAACATAGTATCTTAAAGGAAGCACAGTCAAGACAGATTTTGAAATATCTGAAGGGAGAGAGGAAATGGGAAGGGATAGAATGAAATTGTAGAAGGGGAATAAAAAGCTATAGCCAAAAAATGAGATAAAGAAGTAGAGCATAAACACTGAGAAATAGGGAAACAAACAAACAAACAAAAATGATATGAAGGTAAGTCTTCATGATTTTAAATGGCTGTTCCTTCTTGTCTTAGCTAGAATGTTCCATCATAAAATCCTTTCTTGGTCATCCAGTGTAGCCTTCCTCCCCAACCCGTCTCTCTATATTACAAGATCCTGTTAACTTTCTTTTTAGCAGTTACCACATACTGGATTATCTAGCCCATTTATTTATATATTCCCTGCCTCTATATCCCTAACAGACTATAAAATGTATGAAAGTATGAAATTTGACTTTATTGTTTTATATCCAGAACTTATAACAACCTAAACAGTATATGTATACAAAGTAGCTGTATATACTATAGTATGTGTACAT